CACAGCTGTGTTCTTCAGGTATCAGGAGAGAGAGGGGTATGAACGCCTAGAAACTCATAGGGCCCCATAGCAAACTCTCATTTTATTAATCACAGCTGTGTTCTTCAGGTATCAGGAGAGAGAGGGGTATGAATGCCTAGAAACCCATAGGGCCCCATAGCAAACTCTCATTTTATTACTACTACTACTACTACTACTACTACTACTATTATTTATTTATTTAAGTGCTCTCACACCCAGGCTGGAATGCAGTCGCGCAATCATGGTTAACTGCAGCCTTAACCTCCTGGGCTCAAGCTATCCTCCCACCTCAGCCTCCCAAGTGGCTGTGACTACAGGCATGCAACATCATGCCTGGCTAATTAATTTTTGTAGAGATAGGGTCTCACTATGTTGCCCAGGCTGGTCTTAAACTCCTGGCCTCAAGCCATAGGACCACCTCGACCTCCTGTGTCCCTTGCCACCACACCCACCAAACCCTCATTTTATTAATGAGGAAACAAAGACTTGGGGAAGCTGAGTGACTACTCGTTAGTGGTATAGTTGAAACTAGAACTGTGGTTTCCTGATTCTTAAACCATTGTTCATTCCACGGTATGAGCCAGGAATCACTTTAGAGTACATTCCCGTTTTTTTCTTTCCTCTTTTGAGTGAGGGGAAAAAGGTGAGAAAGCTTGAAGAAACATTTTTAAAAATGAGGACAGTGGCTGGACATGGTGGCTCACGCCTGTGATCCCAGCACTTTGGGAGGCCAAGATGGGTGGATCACGAGGTCACGTGTTCGAGACCAGCCTGATCTACGTGGTGAAACCCCGTCCCTACTAAAAATACAAAAATTAGCCAGGTGTGGTGGTGGGAGTCTGTAATCCCAGCTACTCAGGAGGCTGAGGCAGGAGAATTGCGTGACCCAGGAGGTGGAGGTTGCAGTGAGCCCACTACACCCTTGTCTGAGCAACAGAGCGAGACTCCTTCTCAAAAAAAAAAAAAAAGAAAGAAAAATCAGAACAAATAAGAGTAAAGTTATCCTTGGAAACAGGTGAAGAAGGTAATTTCAGAGGCTGGAATTAGCAGAGCACAGGAAAAGATAAGATGTAATCTAAGGCAATTAGAGTGAACAGGCAATTACAGACTTTTGTTACCTGTATTGAAGTGGATGCTCTGAAACAGCAGGCCTTTTGAAATCCATGGCCCACTCAGGACCTAGAAAGTGAGGACGTCTAACCCAAGTGAAAGTTCAGTGTTACACAAGAGGTATTTGTTTTTATTTAAAAAAACAAACAAACAAACAAAAAACCCCAGAGGTATTTGTTTTACATAAAGGAAAAAACCAAAAGAAACAAGATGTGAGCTCGGGTCCTCTTAGCTCAATTCCAGGGCCTCAGAATTCAAAGCCCATCTCCTTGTTTCCTGTGAATTATCCCAAGGAGTGTTGATTTTCTTGGCCTTCTAGACTTCTAAGATCTTGCTTCCATGTGTAAGGAGCAGAATTTACCGTAGAGATGGAGGGAGGTATTCACATGCCAGTAACAGCAAACAGGTTTAATTGGAACAGGTGGTATCACTATCTAGTACTGTTCCCGCCTCTCTCCCCTGCAGAATCTCAGCTTCTCTCCGCCTCCTTCTACCTCCTTCCTCCCCACTCCCTCTCCTCCTCCTCTTCCCTTCCAGGGACAGAAAGAACAAACTCTTCCTCTAACCTCTAGCCCGGCAGGTTTTCCCTGCCTCTGAAGTCCTAGAGTCTGCTGACATCCTTGCCCTCAAGGCCTTGTCCCTCCCGACGAGCTTAGCAAAGTCTCTCCCTCAAAAAGACAGCTCCTTCCATCCCTAAGAATTGCAGGAATCTGCTGTTAAAATTCAAAATATAGGGCTGGGCGTGGTGGCTCATGCCTGTAATCCCAGCACTTTGGGAGGCCAAGGCAGGCAGATCACCTAAGGTGAGGAATTTGAGACCAGCCTGGCCAACATGGCAAAAGCCCATCTTTCCTAAATATACAAAAATTAGCCAGGCATGGTGGCAGGTGCCTGTAATCCCAGCTAATCCTAACTATTTGGGAGGCTGAGGCAGGAGAATCCCTTGAACCCGGGAGTCAGAGGTTGCAGTGAACTGAGACTGTGCCATTGCATTCCAGCTTGGGAGAAAGAGCAAAGCTCCATCACAAAAAAATAATAGATAGAGAGACAGATAGATAGATACTGTATGTCTTTATACAAGGTTGAAAATCTTTGAAGTTTAATGAAAATGGTGTCTTGACTACTATGGAGTTTATACGTGTGTGTGTGTGTGTGTGTGTATATATTTTATATATATACTTTTTTTTTTTTTTGAGACAGTTTGCTTTGTTGCCCAGGCTGGAGTACAACAGCACAATCTCAGCTCACCGCAACCCCCGCCTCCCAGGTTCAAGCCATTCTCCTGCCTTAGCCTCCCGAGTAGCTGGGACTACAGGCACCCACCACCATGCTGGACTAATTTTTTTAGTTTCAGTAGAGATGGGGTTTCACCATGTTGGCCAGGTTAGTCTCGAACTCCTAACCTCAGGTGATCCACCCGCCTCAGCCTCCCAAAATCCTGGGATTACAGGCGTGAGCCACCATGCCCGACCTGTTTCTCTACTTTCTTAATAAATTTGCTTTCACTTTATGAACTTACACGATTCAAGAACCCTCTCTTGGGGTCTGAATCCAGACCCCTTTCCGGTGACATTTATGTATGAGATGAAGACATGATTTTCGCCCTGGAATCACACCTAGGCTGTGTCTAGCGTAACAGATTGACTCCACGGCTGCAGTTGCCAGAGTTTTACCCTCACTTCCCTTTGTTCCCCTGATTGGATTTCCTTGGTACCCATTTCCTCTTCTCTGCCTCACATCCAGTATTTCTTCATTTTCACAGTCATCTTGCTTAGCCTCTTAGGAGGCTGATGAGGGCAAACTACCACCTGTGGAGAGGGGACCTGAGCCACACCCCACCCTGTAGCTCAAACAGCCAAGCTCTCCCAGGAAGCTCATCACTGGCATGAGTCAAAGATGGCGGCATACTTTTGGGGGGATTTAATGATGCTTTATGCTTTTTTATCAAAACTATGGAACACAGTGATTATAATTAGTATATTTACAAAAACCACAAGAATAGACAGGCACAATCATGAGCTCCGGTCACGAAGGGCTAATTTTCCCTCACTGAATGTCCTGTGGGTTTCCTTTCAGCCTTAATTAGCACAACTTTTTAACTTTTTAATTTACAATGAATGCTTTCACTTAAGCAAGCCCTGCTAGTGTTTGACAGATGGTTAATGTCAAAAGCCCAGGGGGATGGCTTAGCTTTGGCTTCCGTGTTTTCGAAGCAGGAGAAATATTTGGCTGCGCTGATAATTTGTCAGCATGCATCACCATCAACTTTTATTGTCCTTCAAATTCCCCGTTCTCCCTTGGACTTCTCTTTGACTCTTTGCCGATCAGAAGCACACCATAATGGCCCATGTGCTAAGCCTCATAAAGTTATTTTTCTCAATTAATGGCTTCACTGACAATTTTACTGCTTTGCTCTAAGCCCCCCCATTCCCCTGGGCATCAGTACACGTGTCTGTGATAAGCCTCATCCAGCCCTACAAAACTGGCCCCACAGAATTCAGATGTCCTGTTTAAAAAAGCTTATTTCTCTCTCCCTCTCTTTTTTTGCAACATAACACTTGAAAATTCATTTAAGCAGAAAGTAAAAGAGCTTTAAAGCAGACCATAAAAGTGATTACTCAAGAGTACGTACTTTATTCCTCTCCCAGCTGACATCCATTCGACATTAATTTTCCTTGAGTGTGTATCTTGATCTCTTTCCCAAATCCTTACTATTATATATGAACTTTTAATTCCACCCTTATTCCTTTCTACTTTGTGCCAAAAACTTGCACAATGTGCTGAGAGAGATCCATGGGGCTCTGGAGCCACAGTTTGGGAAACTCTGCTATGCCATGATAATGCTCCCTAGTCGCAGCTGCTGGCTTTATTAGGTAGTCAGTTTGTTGTTTTTTAATTATGAAAGGAAAAGTTCTTAATTCATTTTTTCCAAAGTTACTTTTTTTTTTTTTTTTTGAGACAGACTGACTCTGTTGCCCAGCCTGGAGTGCAGTGATGTGATCTTGGCTTACTATAACCTCTGCCTCCTAGGTTCAAGACATCCTCCTGCCTCTCCTGCACCCCCGAAGGCATGCGCCACCACACCCAGCTAATTTTTCTATTGTTAGTGCAGATGAGGTTTCACCATGTTGCCCAGGCTGCTCTTGAATCCCTGACCCAAGCGATCCTCCTGCCTCAGTCCATGCCTGGCCTAAATGGACTTAGATCAGGGGAGCCTTTTTTTAGAGATAGCAATTTCTTGGCTGGGCGTGGTGGCTCACGCCTGTAATCCCAGCACTTTGGGAGGCCAACGCGGGTGGATCACAAGATCAGGAGTTTGAGACCAGCCTAGCCAACATTGTGAAACCCTGTCTCTACTAAAAATATAAAAATTTAGCCTGGCATGGCGGCAGGCACCTGACCCAGCTACTTGGGAGGCTGAGGCAGAAGAATTGCTTGAACCCAGAAGACAGAGGTTGCAGTGAGCTGAGACTGCGCCACAGCACTCCAGCCTGGGCAACTGAGTGAGACTCTGTCTCCAAAAAAAAAAAAAAAAAAAAAAAAAAACAATTCCTGATAGCACCTCCCTCTGTCCCAAAGAACTCAGTAGTAAGAAAGAACTGATAAAAAATATTCCACAATTTCATACACATCAGTTCATCTAAGACTTTTTGTTTTTAAACAGATGAGAAAGCAGAGGCTCAGAGATATTACATAAAGGGTATCTTCAAGGTCATGGCTTCTCTGTCAGTCAGTGTCAGAAACTCGAATTTAAACCACCACTTGAAGATTCTGATTAAATAAACAAAATTCAATTTTGCAAAAAGAATTAGAAATCTGGAGATTCTCATTAATGTTATGGTGACAAATCTTTTATAAGCAGTACTTACCATCGATTGTGCTTTTCTTAGCCTAGTTCTGTCCTGCAATTTATTTTTCTTATCATATGACTGTCGGCTGAAATCTGCGGTCATTTCGTTTCTCTTTCTTCTTCTGTAAATTGGAAAGCAGTAGGAAAATTACAAAGTACCACTTTAAAACTGGGGTGGTTTGCATAGCTATTTGTCTGTTTCACTTTGTTGTTCTTGTGATTTAAAAGATTGTCTTCCCTTAACTGGAAACAAGCCAAATGTCCATCAATAGAGAACTGGTTGAATCACCTCTGGCATCTCCACAACACAATGCAGTAGTATGAGCTGCAAAAGGAAGGCAGGATGTTTCTATATTCAACTGTGGAAGGATGTCCAGGATATACTGTTACATGAAGAAAGAAAGGTGGATGAGATGGTATGCACTGTGTGCTGCCATTCATTTCAGGAAGGAGGTATTAAGATCTCTGCCTCTATATATTGTACATATGTAATCACTTTTACTTTTTAAAATGGAAGGATTATGGTTGGGTGTGATGGCTCAGGCCTGTAATCCCACCACTTTGGGAGGCCGAGGCAGGTGGATCACCTGAGGTCAGGAGTTCGGGACCAGCCTGGCCAACATGGTGAAACCCCTTCTCTACGAAAAATATGAAAGTTAGCCGGGCATGATGGTGCACACCTGCAGTCCCAGCTACTCAGGAGGCTGAGGCAGGAGAATCAGTCCAACCCAGGAAGTGGAGCTTTCAGTGAGCTGAGATTGTGCCACTGCACTCCAGCCTGGGCGAAAGAGTGAGACTGCATCTCAAATAATAATAATAATAAAATGAAATGGAAGGATTAAACCATAAAATGAAAAACAGTTACCTAGAAGTAGGATTCCCATGTGAACTGATCAAAAACAGAGAATATGAGCTGGGCACGGTGGCTCATGCCCATAAACCCAGCTCTTCAGAAGGTCGAGAGGGGAAGATAACTTGAGTCCAGGAGTTTGAGACCCACCTGGGCAACGTGGTGAGACCCTATCTCTACAAAAAATTAAAAACGTAGCTGGGCATGGTGGTGCATGCCTGTAGTTCCAGCTACTCAGGTAGGAGGACTGCTTGAGCCCTGGAGGGCCAGGCTGCACTGAGCCATGACTGCACCGCTGCGCTCTATCCTGGGTGACAGAGTGAGACCCTAACTTAAAAAAAAGGAAAAGGAAAAAAAAAAGAACAGGTAATAATAGAGGAATAGGGACCAAAAGTTAGATTTCTCCAAGTATACCTTATTTTGTATATTTAATTTTGGAGCCATCTAAATTTTTCTCAAAATCATAGAATAAAATGAAGTGAAAAATACCTAAAATCTAAAAAGCAAAATGAAACAAATGTGTCTGTTGAGTTGGTGGCATTACTACAGACAAAGGAGTTACTTCACGTGAGTTTAATGCAGGAGTTTGTCTGAATATTCTTCATAAAATACATCTGAGAGATGAAAATACAGACACAGAAGTCAAACGGTTTTCAGTAATCATATCGCTTGCTTTAATATTACCATTTTTTTTCTAAAACTCCTGCATGTATTTGGATAAAACAAGGATCCACCAACCACAGCCCACAGGCTCAAGCCAGCCTGCTGCCTGTTTTTGTAAATAAAGTTTTATTGGAACATAGTCATACTTATTTCTTGCACATGGTCTATTACTATATTTATGCTACAATGGCAGAGTTGAGTAACTGTGACAGAGACCATATGTCCTGCAAAGACTAAAATATTTCCTGCTTTGCCCTTTATGGGAAAAATTTGTCTGATGTAATGGATGTAGGCGATGAGTATCCATGGTTACCAGCATGACAAAAAGAGAGACAACCAGAAATGATGTGTGTTGTGACGGAAGTCTATGTCCCTGTTCAGTATATACATAAGCCTCTAGGTCTGACTCTCGGTATAGCCAGGTATGAGGGACAGAGGAACGTGTTGAAATGCATGTGGGCGGTACAATCAACAAAATCCAGAATGTGAGAAGCTTTCCAGGATAAATGATCTGATATCTATAACAAACAAATTGCAAAGAGAAAAAAAGGACAGAGCGGGAAATTATGGACAGAACAAAATGCTGAAGTGACACATAGATCAAATGAAATATGCAGACTCCAGGCTGGAGTGCAGTGGCATAACCATGGCTCACTGCAGCCTTCACTTCCTGGGCTGAAGCAACCTTCCCACTTCAGCCTCCTGAGTAGCTAGGACTACAGGCATGCACCGCCACATTTGGCTAATTTTATTTTATTTTTACAGAGACAGGATCTTGCAATGTTGCCCAGGCTGGTCTCAAACTCCTAAACTCAAGTGATACTTCTGCCTCAGCCACTGAAAGTTCTGAGATTACAGGTGTTTGCCATCACACCTGGCCTGATCTTTTTGAGTGTCCACTCCAACCTCTCACCTCAGCTCTCTTGGCCCAATAAAGAAGGGTGATTTGCATAAATGTCCCAAAAGATCAAAATTGAGGAACTCCTACTTTCTGGTTTAAAATGTATTACAGAGCTACAGTAATCAAAACAGTGTCATACTGGTGTAAAGACCAACATAGAGACCAATGGAACAGAATAAGGAGCCCAGAAATAAAACCCTCACATATATGGTCCACTGACTTTCAACAAAGGTGCCAGGACTATTCAGCGGGGCAAAGGACAGTCTTTTCAACAATAGTGCTGGGGAAATGGGATATCTACATGCAGAACAATGAAGCTGGACCCCGACTTTATACCATATGCAAAAATTAACTCAAAATGGATCAAAGACCTAAACTGCAAAACTCAAACCATAAAACTCTTAGAAGAAAATACAGAGGAAAATTGCCAAGACATTGGATTTAGCAGTGATTTCTTGGATATGACACCCAAAATTTAGACAAATTGGACTTCATCAAAATCGAAAACGTTTGTGCCCTAAAAGATGTTATCAAGAGAGAATGGGGTGTCAGCTCTACTCAGGGTTGCTCCGTTTAATTTGTTTAATCTTTGCACTATCTCTTGATTTTTCAACCTGATGACGCCTCAGTCTCTCTGGCTTGCTCCATTCTCTGGACTCTGATCTCAATTATTTGCCTCTGAAATTCGACCTCCGTGGAGTAGTACTTCAGCCTTTCTTGGACCTGTGTGCTGGTTCATACCGAGCTGGCATTGTCCATCGTGCCAGCAGTAGGCAGAAAAATTTGTAAAGACCTAACAACTTGCCAGGCACGGTGGCTCATGCCTGTAATTTCAGCACTTTCGGAGGGCGAGGTGAGAGGATTGCTTGAGTCGAGTTAGAGACCAGCCTGGGCAACATAATGAGACTAGAAGCGACAGGTAATGCCCTTTTACTAAGGGAAACCTTAGTTAACCAGCCTGGGCAACTTAATTCATCTAGAAGTGAAAGGTAATGCCCTTTTATTAAGGGAAACATTTAAGCAAGGAAGAGGCACTTCCATCCCGGCACTGACCCAGTACAGTAATTTTAATAAACAGCACAGGAGCTCTACCAGGAAACCCCAAAGACCCAAGGCTGTTTCACATATTCTGCATCTTTGGGGCAGGCTGAGGAGTTACTTTCAGCTTAAGATACTGTGCTAGGATCCTATCGGCTCCTGACAGGATGTTTTTAGGTTTAAAAAATACTAATGCTGAGATTTCTGATGTGTTTGACAAAGAACCAAAAACATCTTTTTTTGTGTGTGTGTGTGTGTGTGTGTGTGTGTGTGTGTGTGTGTGAGATAGGGTCAACATAGGGTCAGCCTGAGCATAGAAGCCCAGGCTGGTCTCAAACTTCTGGGCTCAAGCGATCCTCCTGTCTCGCCCTCCCAAAGTGCTAGGATTACAGACACATGCTACCTCACCCAGCTTTACTTTCAGAATTTATTTATAAGTAAATATATGATATATATTTAATTGTTGTATTATATATTTGTGTGTAAGTATAAACATATTCATATATTTACACACACACACACATATATAATACAATCAGTAAATCTATTGAGTACCAGCTTTCTTACCATCAGAGAAGGGAGTCACAAATACAAAAGGGATAAAGGCTAGAGTAAACCCTGTGGTGCCAGATTGCAATTTAATATTAAAATATTAGAAGAGGCTGGGCACAGTGGCTGATGCCTGTAATCCCAACACTTTGGGAGGCTGAGGCAGGTGGATAACCCCAGGTCAGGAGTTCGAGACCAGCCTGGCCAACATGGTGAAACCCCCTTCTCTACTAAAAATACAAAAAGTAGCTGGGGATGGTGGCGGGTGCCTATAGTGCCAGCTACTTGGGAGGCTGAGGAAGGAGAATTGCCTGAACCCAGAAGGTGGAGGCTGCAGTGAGCCAAGGTTGTGCCACTGCATTCCAGCCTGGGTGAGCATGAGAGCAAGACTCCAGACTCTGTCACAAAAAAAAAAAAAAAAAAGAAAAGAAGAAGAAGAAGGAGGAGGAGGAGGGGGAGGAGGAGGAGGAGGAGGAGGAGGGGGAGGAGGAGGAGGAGGAGGGGGAGGAGGAGGAGCAATGTTAAATCATTACAATGACAAAATACAAACTGTAACAAATAGAGCAAATCTGCTAATGGTCAGTATACTGTTCTATTACTTTTTTTTCCTACAGTACTGAAAAGCTTTTGTATTTCACAGTAAGTTTTTTTTTTTTTTTTGAGATGAGTTTCACTCTTGTTGACCAGGCTGGAGTGCAATGGTGCGATCTCGGCTCAATGTAACCTCTGCCTCCCAGGTTCAAGCAACTCTCCTGCCTCAGCCTGAGTAGCTGGGACTACAGGCGTGCGCCATCACGCCCAGCTAATTTTTTGTAATTTTAGTAGAGATGGGGTTTCACCAGGTTGGCCAGAATGATCTTGATCTCTTGACCTCATGATCCACCTGCCTCAGCCATCCAAAGTGCTGGGATTATAGGCATGAGCCACCACATCTAGCCTTTCAGAGTAAGTTCTATTTTCATCCCTTCATTTACTGAAATGCCAATAACTTATTGCTAAAAACAAAGAAGTTAAGAAGGGCATGGAGCTTCTTACCCTTGCCAGACAGTCTCCATGGGGTCACAGTTGTCTAGGTAATTAAAACGGATGATATCAGTTGGATGCTTATCAGAAGATCGCCATGGTGGAAGTGCTTTCTCCCCTGGGTTATTCTTCTTTCTTAAAGAGGAAGAGGACCGAAAAGCTGACAAAGGGGATTGCTTTTCCTCTGGAGAATTGCTTGTAATTAGTTGAACATCAGCAATTACAAATCCATCCTTTGGGGGTGTCTAGAAGAAGAAAATTAATTATGTTTTCAAAATACTATCATACAAGAGGTATGGTAGCTCACACCTGTAATCCCAGCACTTTGGGAGGCCAAGGTGGGCAGATCACTTGAGGTCAGGAGTTCGAGATCAGCCTGACCAACATGGTGAAACCCTGTCTCCACTAAAAATACAAAAATTAGCTGGGCATGGTGGCAGGTGCCTGCAGTCCCAGGCATTCATGAGGTTGAGGCAGGAGAATTACTTGAACACTGAAGGCAGAGGTTGCAGTGAGCCAAGATTGCACCACTGCATTCCAGGCTGGGTGACAAGAGCGAGATTCCACCTCTTTTTTTTTTTTTTTTTTTTTTTTTGAGACGGAGTTTCGCTCTTGTTACCCAGGCTGGAGTGCAATGGCGCGATCTCGGCTCACCGCAACCTCCGCCTCCTGGGTTCAGGCAATTCTCCTGCCTCAGCCTCCTGAGTAGCTGGGATTATAGGCACGCACCACCATGCCCAGCTAATTTTTTGTATTTTTAGTAGAGACGGGGTTTCACCATGTTGACCAGGTTGGTCTCGATCTCTCGACCTTGTGATCCACCCGCCTCGGCCTCCCAAAGTGCTGGGATTACAGGCTTGAGCCACCGCGCCCGGCCGCGAGATTCCATCTCAAAACAACAACAACAACAACAACAACAAAAACCCACTATAATAATAATAACAACAATAAAACAAAGAATATATTGATGTGAGTTGGCTGAAGGATTAAAAAAAAGGAGTATCTTCATCATCACCACCATCACCATCACCATTACGATGGTGATAATGATTATACCAGCCACCACTCCAGGAGGTGCCACGTTGCAGGCACTGTCTCAGGCAGTTTTCATGCATCCTATTGTTTAACTTGACAATAACTCTATAAGGTAATCATTGCTACTTCCGTGTTGCAGAAGAGGAAATAGAATAAAGGAGAAACGAATTAATTTGCCCACTACTACAAAGTAGTAATTTGGAGGGCCAGAGCTTGAATACAGGACTGTCTTGCTTCAAGCCCACACGTAAGACCTCCCTATCTACTCTTCTACCATACCATTGTCTAGTTTGTCCCAACTGCAGCTAATTTATTCATAAAAAGTACACATTCTCCCAAAAAAGTACTCCAGCTTTTATGATCTCTAACACACAGAAACAACTGAGTTGTAGAGAAGTAGACTATAAATTTGATCCATGATCAAAACCTCAACCACTCCCAAAGAATACTTCTGCTTTCATCTCCAAAACTGGGAGCCTGTCTTGTGTGTGTGAAATTCATATCATTTTCATGTGGTTGTGGCCTAAGGACAGTACTATTGGTATGTAGAGACACCATTAAGGGCTTAATTTTTGTTCATTAAGAGATTAGGGAAGCTTTGCTGGGTAAATCAGTTTCCTTCTACTGTTGCTGAAAATCAAGAATTTCCCCAGGTCCTCCAAGCATAATCAGTTAGTTTCTCATCCTTGTTTCAATTGCTCTTTGTATACAATTCTATTATAGAACAATGCTTAGTACTCAGTGTTGTAATTATTTGTTTATGTGTGTTTGTCCTGGGCTACTAGACTAAGCTCTGTGAAAGCAGGGATGGGATCCTTCTACATTTGGCACCTGGCTCACAACACTGTTTCATACATATTTATTCAGGCAGGGTGTGGCGGATTGCGCCTGTAATCCCAGCACTTTGGGAGGCCCAGGTGGGTGGATCATGTGAGGTCAGGAGTTTGAGATCAGTCTGGCCAACATGGTAAAACCCTGTCTCTACTAAAAATTAAAAAAAAAAAAAATTAGTCCGGCATTGTGGTGCTTGCCTGTAATCCCAGTTACTTGGGAGCCTGAGGCAGGAGACTCACTTGAACCCTGGAGGCGGAGCCTGCAGTGAGCTGAGATCTCGCCACTGCACTCCGGCATGGGAAACAGAGTGAAATTTATTCATTTAATGAATGACCTAGAAGCAGATTAAGAAGACATTTTATATTTACATAATTGATAGCTCATTAGTGGTTTGGTATTCAATATTTTATACAAGTCTCATATACAATGGACATTCATTTCATTTCCCTGAGCTTATATTGAATTAAATCCATCTGTTTTTGCTGGAAGAGGTCTAGTTTAATACTGCTAGAAATACATAATATATAATAATAAAAAATAACTTCAGGGGGAAATTTTAGGTATAAATGCTAGTAGTTATATGTTAAAAAATCATTAATTCTGTACAGTACAATATGGTTACACTTTAACAAAATAGGTAATAGTGAAATCTGTGATAACTTACTTGTATTAAGTAAACAAAATTTTTGTTCACATCACCTGAAGTCTTTCTGAGAATCTTTCTAATCATGAATAGATGTTGAATTTTGTTAAATGCTTTTATTTGGATATATTGAAGTAATCATATATCTTTTCTCTCTTTTTTTAAAAACTATGGAATGCTTTGTGAATTCACGTCTTCTAGGCATCATTCCAATTTTAGTGTATGTGCTACTGAAAGATGCACTTTTTTCTCTTTTATTTCATGAATTACATTGATTGATTTTTTTTATATATATACAGTCTTGATCTATTGCCCAGGATGGAGTGCAGTGGCTCAATCTCAGCTCACTGCAACCTCTGCCTCCCAGATTCAAGTGATTCTGCTGCCTTAGCCTCATAAGTAGCAGGGATTACAGGTGTGTGACACCATGCCCAGCTAATTTATTTATTTATTTTTCTAAGATAGAGTCTTGTTTTGTCACACAGGCTGGAGTGCAGTGGTACAATCTTGGCTGACTGTAACCTCTGCCTCCTAGTTCAAGCGATTCTCCTGCCTCAGCCTCCTGAGCAGCTGGGATCACAGATTCTTGTCACCGTGCTTGGATAATTTTTTTGTATTTTTAATGGAGATGGTGTTTCACCATGTTGGGCAGGCTGGTCTCGAACTCCTAACTCAGGTGATCTGCCCACCTCAGCTTACCAAAGTGCTGAGACTGCAGGTGTGAGCCACCGCACTGGCCTTAATTTTTGTATTTTTAGTAGAGACGAGGTTTCACCATGTTGGCCAGGCTAGTCTCAAACTCCTGACCTCAAGTGATCTGCCTGCCTTGGCCTCCCAAAGTGCAAGGATCATAGGCGTGAGCCACCATGCCCAGCCTGATTTTTGACTGTTATGCCAGCCTTACTTTCCTTGGATGCATTCCACTTGGCCAGTGTGTATTATTCTTCTTACGTATTACTGGATTTAATTTGTTAATACTTTTTGAAGAGTTTTTGTTTTGTTTTGTTTTGTTTTTTCAAACCAGGAAGAAGTTGAATCCCTGAATAGACCAATAACAAGGTCTAACGTTGAGGTAGCAATTAATAGCCTACAACCAAAAAAAGTCCAGGTCCAGACAGGTTCACAGCTGAATTCTACCAGATGTACAAAGAGGAGCTGGTACAAATCCTTCTGAAACTATTCCAAACAATACAAAAAGAGGGATCCTCCCTAACTCATTATATGACACCAACATCATCCGGATACTAAAACCTGGCAGAGACACAACTGAAAAAGAAAATTTCAGGCCAATATCCATGATGAACATCAGTGCAAAAATCTTCAATAAAATATTGGCAAACTGAATGCAACAGTACATCAAAAAGCTTAACCATCATGATCAAGTAGGCTTCATCCCAAGGATGCAAGGCTGGTCCAACATATGCAAATCTATAAACACAATCCAGCACATAAACAGAACCAAAGACAAAAACCATGATTATCTCAATTGATGTAGAAATGGCCTTCAACAAAATTCAACAGCCCTTTATGCTAAAAACTCTCAGTAAACTAGATATCAATGGAATGCATCTCAAAATAATAAAAGCTATTACAACAAACCCACAGCCAATATCATACTGAATGGGCAAAAACTGGAAGCATTCCCTTTGAAAACTGGCACTAGACAACGGATGCCCTCTCTCACCATTCCTATTCAACATAGTATTGGAAGTTTTAGCCAGAGCAATCAGGCAAGAAAAAGAAATAAAAGAAATAAAGGAAATTGCTTTCAATTAGGAAAGGAGGAAGTCAAACTGTCTCTATTTGCAGACGACATGATTGTATATTTAGAAGACCCCATCATCTCAGCCCCAAATCTCCTTAAGCTGATAAGCAACTTCAGCAAAGTCTCAGGATACAAAACCAATGTGCAAAAATCACAAGCACTCCTATATACCAATAACAAAAACAGAGAGCTAAATCATGAGCAAACTCCCATTCACAATTGCTACAAAGAGAATAAAATACCTAGGAATACAATTAACAAAGGATATGAAGGACCTCTTCAAGGAGAACTACAAACCACTGCTCAAGGAAATAAGAAAGGACACAAACAGATGGAGAGACATTCCATGCTTGTTGTAAGGAAGAATCAATATCATGAAAATCGCCACACTGCCCAAAGTAATTTATAGATGACCTTCTTCACAGAATGGGAAAAAAACACCTTAAACTTCATATGGAACAAAAAAGGATCCTGCATAGCCAAGACAATCCTAAGCAAAAAGAATAAAGCTAGAGGCATCACGCTACCTGACTTCAAACTATACTATAAGGCTACACTAATCAAAACAGAGATATAGACCAATGGAACAGAACAGAGGCCTTGGAAGTAATGCCACACATCTACAACCATGTGATCTTTGACAAATCTGACAAAAACAAGCAATGGGGAAAGGATTCCCTGTTTAATAAATGGTGTTGGGAAGACTGGCTAGCTACGTGCAGAAAGCTGAAACTGGACCCCTTCCTGACACCTTATACTAAAATTAACTCTAGATGGATTAAAGACTTAAACATAAGACCTAACACCATAAAAACCCGAGAAGAAAACCTAGGCAAAACCATTCAGGACACAGGCATAGACAAGGACTTCATGACTAAAACACCAAAAGCATTGGCAACAAAAGCTAAAATAGGCAAATGGGACCTAATCAAACTCCAGAGCTTCTGCACAGCAAAAGAAACTAGCATTAGAGTGAACCAGCAACCAACAGAATGGGAAAAAATTTTTCCAAGTTACCCATCTGACAAAGGGCTAATATCCAGAATCTACAAAGAACTAAAAGAAATTTACAAGAAAAAAAAAAACAACCCCATCAAAAAGTGAGTGAAGGATATGAGCAGACATTTTTCAAAAGAAAACGTTTATGTGGCCAGCAAACATATGAAAAAATGCTCATCATCACTGGTCATTACAGAAATGAAAATCAAAACCACAATGAGATATAATCTCATGCTAGTTAGAAAGGCCATCATTAAAAAATCTGGAGGCAACAGATGCTGGAGACGCTGTGGAGAAACAGGAACACTTTTACACTGTTGGTGGGAGTGTAAATTAGTTCAACCATTGTGGAAGACAGTGTGGTCATTCCTCAAGGATCTAGAAATACCATCTGGCCCAGCAATACCATTACTGGGCATATACCCAAAGGATTATAAATCATTCTATTATAAAGACACATGAATACATATATTCATTGTGGCACTGTCTACAATAGCATAGACCTGGAACCAACCAAATACCCATCAATGATAGACTGGATAAAGAAAATGTGGCACATATACACCATGGAATACTATGCAGCCATAAAAAACGATGAGTTCATGTCCTTTGCAGGGACATGGATGTATCTGGAAACCAGCATTTTCAGCAAACTGACACAAGAACAGAAAACCAAACACCGCATGTTCTCACTCATAAATGGATGTTGAACAATGAGAACACATGGACACAGGGAGGGGAACATCACACACTGGGGTCTGTTGGGGTGTAGGGGACTAGGGAAGGGATAGCGGTGGGGGGGTGGGGAGACTGGGGAGGGATAACACTGGGAGAAATACCTAACGTAGGTAATGGGGGGATGGAGGCAGCAAACCACCATGGCATGTGTATACCTATTGAACAATCCTGCAAGATCTGCACATGCACTCCAGAACTTAAAGTATAATTTAAAACAAAAATTTTTAATTCTTTTAAAAAGATAAATTGCCTTTTCCCTGCAAGTAAAGATTTTTATGTCTATATTCATGAGGGGTATTTGTCTGCACTTTTGTTTCCTTGAGAAGTCTTTGGTTTTGGAATAAGGGGAATGAGTTGGGAAGTGTTCCCTCTTCCTCTCTTTTCTGAAAGAGGTTGTGTAAAATTGGTATTATTTCTTCCTTGAATGTGTGAGAGAATTTACCAGTGAAGCTATCTGAGTCTGGGGCTTTGTTGAAAATGGAACAATTAATAATTCAATTTTAATTCAATATCGATTCATTCATGCTTTCTATTACTTATGGAGTCAGTTTTGGGAATTTGTCTATTTCATCTAGGTTGTTGAATTCAGAAGCATGAAGCTGTTTATAATATTCTCTCAATCCTTTTAACGTCTAAGAATCTGTAAGATGCCCCTGCTTTCATTCATGGTGTTACTAATTTGTATTTTCTCTCCTTTTTCTTCATTAGCCTGGCTATAAATATAGAGATTCTATTTATGTTTTCCAAGAACCACCTTTGGTTTCATTTCTTTCCTCTGATGTTTGTTTTCGATGTCTTTGATTCCAGTTCCTTACTTATTTCTTCCTTCTATCTACTTTGGTTTCATTTCTTCTTCTTTTTCTAGCTGGAAGTCTTTTTGAAATTATGGTTTCCGGCAAATATAGCATAGGCTTACAGACAGTTTTAAAGATCATTCTAATTCAGCTCTCTCACTTGATTTTTTTTTTTTTCCTAATAGAGACAGTGTCTCCCTACATTGCCCAACCTGGTCTGGAACTCCTGGGCTCAAGTGGTCCTCCTGCCTTAACTTCCCAAAGTGCTGGGATTACAGGCGTGAGCCTCTGTGCCCAGCCAGCCCTCTCATTTTAAGGCTGGGAAAACTAGTATTAACCACTCCCACCTGCTCATAATGTGCTTTCACAATCTCTGCTGGAGCCCATGCCAGGTACAAAGTTCTGGCAGGAAAGAGGGATGGTGCTTTTGCTTGACGGAAGGTAAATTGTGTCATTGGAGCCACTTCACAGGGAATTATACAAGTATGTGTAATGCTGAAAGTTGACTTTATTGACCTTCATCAGATGACTATTAACTTTAAACTTTCTGACTTAGGGTTATTTCTTTTTCTTTTTCTTTTTTGAGACAGAGTTTCACTCTTGTTGCCCAGGCTGGAGTGCAGTGGTGCAATCTTGGCTCACTGCAACCTCGGCCTCCCAGGTTCAAGCGTTTCTCCTGCCTCAGCTTCTGGAGTAGCTGGGATTACAGGCATGTGCCACCACGTCTGGCTACTTTTGCATTTTTAGTAGAGGTGGGGTTTCTCCATGTTGGTCAGGCTGGTCTCAAACTCCCCACCTCAGGTGATCTGCCCACCTAGGCCTCCCAAAGTGCTGGGATTCCAGGCATGAGCCACTGCACCTCAGGGCTCTTTCTTTAACTGATGGATTTAAGTTTATTAGTTGACTTTCTTAACCTTTCTGACTTAGGTCCATGTCTTTAACAGAATAAAATTTAACTTTCATAGAATAACATATTCCCTGCAGAAATGTAATACCAGGCAAAGAAGTGACAATTTTCTTGCACAAAATTTACAACATTCATTTTTTTTATAATATAGTTATATATAAATACTTTGTGGAAAAGAATTATTGCTGAAAACAAAGCATTAAAATCGGGGGGGAAGTGTTTGTTTTTTTGGGGGGGGAAAGATTTTTTTTTTTTTTTTTGAGTCAGAGTCTCACTCTGTCACCCAGGCTGGAGTGTGGCACAACCACAGCTCACTGCAGCCTCGACCTCCTGAGCTCAAGTGATCCTCCCAACTCAGCCTCCCAAGTAGTTGAAACTGCAGGAATGTGCTACTGCACCCAGCTAATTTTTATATTTTCTGTAGAGACAGGGTCTCCCTATGTTATACAAGCTGGTCTCAAACTCCTGGCCTCAAGCAATCCTCCCACCTTGGCCTCCCAAAGTGCTGGGATTACAGGCACAAACCACTGCGCCTGGGCCCAAAATCAGTTACGTATCTAAAACTCACGACTTCTTTTCATTCTACTCGTTGGTTAATCATTTTTCTCTCCTCTGCCCCTGAACAGCCTGAGCTTCAGCTATTGAAGGCCACTCCCTGCTCCCTGAGAAGGAGATGCAAGAGAAGTCTCACTAGGAGAGGAGTCAGAGCTACCAGAATTTTCAAAAGAACTTTAAAAAATCTGCACTTAAAACTCTCCTTTTAAAAGAAATCCTCGTGGAGCATACCAACTACTAAAATCAAAAAGACTTTTATCATCGCAATTGTAACAACATTAATTATGCATAGTTTATTACTGTATTAAGTATAGATGGAGTCTATTTCCAGAAAACACAATAAAGCCTAAACCGAAATCAGCAAGCTAGGAGTTGACTGTTCATATTTCAAAAGGATTCTCTAGTTTTAACAGGATTCATTGCAGTTTGCTCACAAGCTTTAATACCCCTGTGGCTTTAAAAATCATTTTAAAACTGTAATTTACACATAATTTTTCAGGAACTCATCTATTGTACAAAATGATGCACAAATCTGCCTGTGTATAGAGAATGCTATAAACAAAGGGCTCATAAAATTTTCCCATAAATTATCTCATTAGCTGGGAACTATAAGAGTGAATATAAGCATTTGTTAGAATGCATAGGAAGCCACTAGAAAAATTATTCTAGCATTACTTACTTTTTGTGAATATATGTAAATGTTCTACATTGCTTAGTTCCTAGCAAAAACTAAGAATTCCTTTTTTTTTTTTTTTGTAAGACGGAGTTTCACTCTTGTTGCCCAGCATAGAGTGCAATGGCGTGATCTTGGCTCAGCACAACCTCCTCCTCCTGGGTTCAAGAGATTCGCCCCCTCAGCCTTCCGAGTACCTGGGATTACAGGCATGTTCCACCACGCCTGGATAATTTTTTTTGTATTTTTATTAGGTTTCTCCACGTTGGTCAGGCTGGTCTTAAACTCCCGTCCTCAGGTGATCTGCCTGCCTCAGCCTCCCAAAGTGCTGAGATTACAGGTATGAGCCCCTGTGCCAGGCCAAAACTAAGAATTATAATATGCCCATGAGGCCCTTCCCTGATGACTCATTTATTAGAAAACTTTTTCTTATAAAAATATACAAATAAACTTCAGCTCACCCGGTAGAATCATAGAGAATTTGAATTAGTAAAGTAAAACTTGAAGGCCCATAGGTAACAAATACTTCACATTACCCATAGAGTCCCCACGTCACTACTGTCTGATGTCGACATCAGAGACACAGGAATCAGGGACCTGGACAGAGAAAGAAGTTCTATGCCGGGCGCGGTGGCTCAAGCCTGTAATCCCAGCACTTTGGGAGGCCGAGGTGGGTGGATCGCGAGGTCAAGAGATCGAGACCATCCTGGTCAACATGGTGAAACCCCGTCTCTACTAAAAACACAAAAAATTAGCTGGGCGTGGTGGTGTGTGCCTGTAATCCCAGCTACTCAGGAGGCTGAGGCAGGAGAATTGCCTGAACCTGGGAGGCGGAGGTTGCGGTGAGCCGAGGTCGCGCCATTGCACTCCAGCCTGGGCAACAAGAGCGAAACTCCGGCTCAAAAAAAAAAAAAAAAAGAAGTTCTAGGCCCTAATCGCCTGCAGGCAACTGTGGTTTGGGAGTGGCAAATGAGGGCTCTCAACTAACATCAGTGTCTTGAAAATGACCATCAAGTCTCAGAAAAGGAGAATTTTGAAATCATAGTATATTTCCTTTGAACTACCTCCCGCCCCCAACTTCCAGTTTGATTCTTTATTCTTAGTTCTAGAATGTGCAAAGAGCCAACATTTGCAAGCTTGCGGCTTTTTGTCTAAAATTCACCTTAGGCTTGGTAACGTGAAGTCCTTTCACCATTTGGATATAGTGCTTCTTCCAGATCCCCTGCTCAAAGGGAGTTGGAGAGAAATTGATGCACCAGTTGAACCGTAAACATTTCAGCATCCAGAGCTGGTCCAGCTCAGCTAGGTTCTTCCAGTGCCAGCACACCTGGAACAACAATTACAATCGAACAAAACCAACAATTACAATGAAACAAAACCAACAATTACAATGAAACAAAACCAATCAAAAACCTCGTCAGTTGACATGCCCACTTTCTCTAGGTTTGGAGCTGTCATCCTGGACCTGAGATAACTTTTTTGTCCTTTGCCTCCAAACCATAGCTTAAATGGTTACTCCTACCTGAAATGTTTTCTACCCTGGCAGATTTAAAGTAAATTAGCATTTGCTTTAAATGTTAATTCAGACTTAGAATCAGAGTCAATTAATATTTATGGAGCACCTATTAACTATCTTTGTAGCAACCTAGGGAGGTAAGTATAATTATTACTCATATTGCAAATGAGGAAACTGGGGCTCAGATAGATTTTGGAACTTTCTAAAGGTTTCCAAAGGTGATATAAAAGTTGTATAAGGATTATATAAATTCCCGTCTGCACGTTGTTTATTCTTTTCACGGTGTGCTTCCTTTTACCTCCTATACTAGTCCAGTTTCACACTGCTGATAAAAATGTACTCAAGACTTGATAACTTACAAAGAAAAAGAGGTTTAATGGACTCACAGTTCCATGTGGCTGGGGAGGCCTCACAATCATGCAGGGAGGCCTCAAAATCATGGTGGAAGGCAAAAGGCATGTCTCACATGGCGGCAGGCAAGAGAGAATGAGAGCCAAGCAAAAGGGGAAACCCTTTATAAAACCATCAGATCTTGTGAGAGTGATTCACTACCATGAGAACAGTATGGGGGAAACCACTCACGTGATTCAATTATCTCCCACTGGGTCCCTCTCACAACACATGGGAATTAAGGGAGCTACAATTCAAGATGAGACTTGTGTGGGGACACAGCCAAACCATATCATCTCCATTCTTTCAGTTTCACCAAATATAAATTTTATAAATGGAATATAATCACTGACTCTACATGGTGTATAGAGCCTTCAGAATTCTATAAAGCATAAAGCATTTATTCTGTACATACCAGTTCCATAACATTATGACCAATCTCACCCATCCAGCAAATGGTGGAGTTGGCCCTACTATACATAGCAATACTTATAATAACTTAACCAAGAGTTTGAATAAGTCTTGCCAGTAACTAGGATCAAGTTTACATACAAAGCTGAGACGAGGGATTCAGTCTCTTAGTTGAAAGAGTTGCAGAGATGACATATAACCTTCAAGCCCAAATTTCACCCTTAGAAAACTGGCCTCTTTTTCAAGATTAATTAAATTAATAATTTCTGAATGCCCCCTCACCCCCAAGACGAGAACACTCTGTAAGGGCCCTTGCTATCCACACACCCATTTTTCTATCCCTCTCTGCCTCCCTCCTTCTACCCACCATTCATTGAGTTTCTACCATGTTTAGTATCGTTTTATGTGCAGAAGATGAGATGTCGAGGAGGGAGTAGGCACAATTAGAAGAAATCATAGATTCAGGAAACTGTTACGGAAGGAGGAAAAAGTTTAGAGGATTTGATAGAACCCTGCAGACAGCAACAGAAATCACATTTAGTTTGTTCCACCCCAAAATGAAACAATACCAAACTTCATCTCCATATGGTAAATTTACTCAGCGTTCACTGGAGAGATGGAGGTTTTGGAAAGAGAAGGGGTAGAAAAGTCTCTCAATTCTCATTCCTTTTCTCCTCTTCTTTAGATCACGTTTTGACCTGAGTACTTAAGTTGTTTTCCTTCCCAAAACAAACAAAGATTTTGTTTTTTTTGTGGCTTTGTTTGTTTAAAGGTAGAGCGGAATGAAGAGAATTGAAAGGTAAGTAGGAGTTTCCATATCTACAAGACACAATTCCTCTACAAGCTTTCATCTTTCACCAGGCTGGAGTGCAGGGGCGCAACCTCAGCTCACTGCAATCTCTGCCTCCCGGGTTCAAACAATTCTCTTGCCTCAGCCTCCCAAGTAGCTGGGACTACAGGTGTGCACCACCACACCCAGCTAATTTTTGTATTTTTAGTAGAGACGGCGTTTCACCATATTGGCCACGTTGGTCTCAAACTCCTGACTTTGTGATCTGCCCACCTTGGCTTCCCAAAGTGCTACGATTACAGGTGTGAGCCACCACCGCTCCCGGCCCCTTCCATCTTTTTAAAACAGCAATGACTTTATATGGTTTACTTTAAATGTAGCTGAAGAATGATGGTCTGTGTCTTCCCCACAGTCAGTAGTGAGAAGCAAATATGACTTATAGTGCATACAGATGATAGAAGCAGCTTTTTCAAATAACATTTCCCTCTAATAATAAATTATCCTTATGAAAAATGAAAAATATATGAGAAGTTTAACCCATAGCCCCATTAATCAGAGATGACTATTATTGATAACCTGGTAGAGTTCTTTCCCTTTCAGTCTTTATTTGAAGCATATATAAAAGAAAATTGGGAAACTCTATATACAACTTAAAAATCTTTCTTCATTTTAAGTATCATAGCATCTCCCTTCTTCCAAAACATGTTTACTAATGGTAGCATAATAATGCATCATATATGGCTGTATAATACCCTGTTATTGCTGGACATCCAGATTGCTATGCTCTTTTAAAAAATAATTTCAAGCAGGGCGTGGCGGCTCATGCCTGTAATTCCAGAACTCTGGGAGGCCGAGAGGGACAGATCACTTGAGATCAGGAGTTTGAGACCAGACTGGCCAACATGATGAAACCCCATCTCTACTAAAAATACAAAAATTAGCCAGGCATGGTGGCATGCGCCTGTAATCCCAGCTACTTGAGGCTGAGGCACAAGAATTGCTCGAACCCAGGAGGCGGAGGTTGCAGTGAGCTGAGATTGTGCCACTGAACTCCAGCCTGGGCAATAGAGCAAGAATCTGTCTCAAAAAAAGATTCATTTTTGGAATAGATATGTACACATTAATACCAAATTCAAAGAAAGAAAGAAAGTGTTTCTCCTATCACTAACTCCAGACCCCCATTCTTCTCCTTGGATGAGACTACTCTTAACTCTTACCAGTTTCTGGTATATCATTCCAGAAATATTCTAGGCATATAGGAACAAATATGTACATATGTGTGTATATGTATATACATATATATATATATATATATATATATATATAATTTTCTTTTGAGACAGGGTCTCACCCTGATGGTTGCTCAGGCTGAAGTGCAGAGGCATAATCATAGCTTACCGCAGGCTTCAACCCCTGGGTTCAAGCAATTCTCCTGCCTTAGCCTCTCAAGTAGCAGGGACTCCAGGCGCTGCATACCACCATACCTGGCTAATTTTTTTTTTTTTTTTTTTTTTTTTTGAGACAGGATCTCACTTTGTCACCCAGGCTACAGTGCAGTGGCATGATCTCGGCTCACTGCAGCTTCGATCTTCCAGATTCAAGCAACTCTCCTGCCTCGGCCCCCCAAGTAGTTTGGACTGCAGGTGCACACCACCAAGCTGGGCTAATTTTTGTATTTATAATAGAGATGAGTCTTGCCATATTGGCCAGGAAACTCCTGACCTCAAGTGATCCACCTACCTCAGCCTCCTAAAATGCCAGGATTACAGGTGTGAGCCACCTTCACGCCTGTCCAACCTGGCTAATTTTTAACTTTCTGTAGAGACAGGGTCTTGCTGTGTTGCCCAGGCTAGGGTGCTGTGCTGCAATCTTGGCTCACTGCAGCTTTAACCTTGTGGGCTCCGGCAATCCTCCCACCTCAGCCTCCCGAGTAGTTGGGACTATGGGCATGTGCCACCACACCTGGCTAATTTTTTGTATTTTTTATAGATAATGGGAGTCTCGCCATAATGCCCAGGCTAGCCTCAAATTCTTGGCCTCAAGTGATCTGCCTGCCTTGGCCTCTCAGAGTGCTGGGATTACAGGCAAGCCACCGTGCCTGGCCCTTTTTTCTTTTCATAATGGTAGGACAGTTCTACACTTCCACCTTTTTTTAACCAATGATTGGTTAAAATCTTGGAGATAGTCGCAATTGATTTACCCAGTGTCTCCTGCTAGACATTTTCTTTGTTTCCAACCTGTTGCTAGGACAGACAATGCTGCAATATTCTTACAAGGATATGGCTTTTACCATGTTGCAGGATACCCACCAGGCAAATTCCAAGAATTGGAACTGCTGGGGCAAAGGGAATTTTTATTTGAAATTTTAACACTACCCAGTGGTTCTCCATGGTGGTTACATCAATTTCTCTACCAGTGATATATGAAAGGCCTCACCAATATAGAATATTCTCATTTAAAACAAATCTCAATCTGAGTCATGAAAGATGGCATGCCATAATGAGGCTAAGCATCTTACAGATTTTAGAGACATCTGCCTTTCTTTCTCTGTAGATTACTTGTTCACTTCCTTTGCTCATTTTTCTGCTGGATGGTTGATCTTTTTTTTTTTTTTCTTAATATAGATTTATAAGGGCTCTCTAAAAAATAAAGAAATTAGCCCTTTACATGCAATAATTTTTTTTCCTGCTTACTGTTCAGAATTACTGATGGTGTTCTGTTCCATGAAGAATATTTTAACTTTTATAGTCACAATTTCAAAATCTGTTTTCTTCATTCTTGCTCATAATACATAAAATGAAGCAAGCAAGATTTTAAGTTGTGTATTTTCTTTTAAGGCTTCAGGATTATCATGGAATATTCACAAAGGCTTCCTTTCCTGTTTTCTTTGAGGTCTTTAATGGTTTCCTTTGGTTTCATCTGTCTTTTATCCTACTGAAATTTTTTTTCCAGAGAGTTGCTCAGTTATCCCTACACCATTTACTGAATAATACATATTTTTTTGAGGCAGAGTCTCACTCTGTTGCCCAGGCTGTAGTGCAGTGGCACAGTCACAGCTCGCTGAAGCCTCTACCTTCCAGGTTCAAGTAATTCTCCTACTTCAGCCTCCCAAGTAGCTGGGACCACAGGCACATGTCACCACACCCATCGAATTTTAACATTTTTTTTGTAAAGACAAGGTCTCCCTCTGTTGCCCAGGCTACCCTTGAACTTCCAGGCTCAGGCAATCTTCCCACCTCAGTCTCCCAAAATGCTGGGATTACAGGTTTGAGCCACCACACCCAGACCTATCTTTCCTCCTGCATTCATTTTCTTCATTTTAAAAATTAAAGTTAACATGTCATATCTATATGAATGCACACTGGCAGGTAATCTCTGGTCTTGCCAGACTCTATGAAAAGACTCGAAAGAATGACTGCCAGTTTCGTATCTTAAATAATTTAACTTCACTTTAATACAGAATGGAATTACTTGTAAAAGAAAAAAATAATAACAATCAACTACTTTTCTAAGGCCTCTGTGAGCACACCCGTCCACTCATCTCTTTTAATTTCATTCTCTTTTGCACGTATCTCATTAGGCACCTATTTTTTTAAATTTCTTTTTTGTTTTATTAGGCACTTATTTGGAGCTCTTTTATTCATGAATGACCCGAACTCTACAATTAAGGACCTTATTACAGCTGAATGCAGGGCAGTATAAGTCCATTCTGCTGAGGAACCATTTCTTTTTTTTTTTTTTTTTTTTTTTTGAGACGGAGTTTCGCTCTTGTTATCCAGGCTGGAGTGCAATGGCGCGATCTCCGCCTCCTGGGTTCAGGCAATTCTCCTGCCTCAGCCTCCTGAGTAGCTGGGATTACAGGCACGCGCCACCATGCCCAGCTAATTTTTTTTTGTATTTTTAATAGAGACGGGGTTTCACCATGTTGACCAGGACGGTCTCGATCTCTTGATCTCGTGATCCACCCGCCTCGGCCTCCCAAAGTGTTGGGATTACAGGCTTGAGCCACCGCGCTCAGCCGAGGAACCATTTCTTACGTGTGTATGTATCTCCCAGCCAGCTAATACTTCTTTGTTGGACACGAATGTGGCTTCTACTTTTTTTCCCCATTTGAGTTCTAAATAGAGTTGGACACAAAGATGATGGAGGTTCATTCAAACTCTATGAACATACTGATCATCTCATCTCTTTCTTAGTTTTGTGTATGTATGTATGTGCTTGTATTTGTCCATGTGTTTGTGTGTACTTGTGTATGTGTATGTATGTTTCTCTGTGTTTACATGTGTCTGTGTTTGTGTATATGTGTGTTTATGAGTATACACGTGTGTATGTATGTGTATATGTGTATGTTTGTGTGTAGATGTGTATATGTGTGTTTGTGTGTGCATGTGTGTTTGTGTGTATGTGTATATGTGTGTAGATGTATATATGTGTGTATGTTTGTGTGCTCGTGTATATTTGTGTATGTGTATCTTGTGTGTATGTTTGTGTGGATGTGTATATGTGTGTTTGTGTGTATTTGTGTTTGTATGTATGCATGTATGTGTTGTGTTTGTGTGTGTGTATGTGTGTGTTTCCCTTTAACTTCTTCGAGTTTCAAGTTTCCTAAGGCTGTCCTCACAAAACACCACACGCCCCTTCCTTGCCTTTACCTGTGCACAGCGACAAAGGCTCCGGGGGTCCAGGAAAGAAAAGATGTATAAAGATAACACCCTTGGAAGCTTGGTCGTAAAGTCCAGGGCTTCTGCTGGAATTTTCTCCTGAAGTGTTCGACAGCAGAACTTTTGCTGGGACAGCGAGCAGCGCTCCAACAGGCCCGTGAGGATTCTTCTTCTTTGAGAGTCTGTCCACTTGTCAAACTGAAAACACAAAACAAAACAAAATGTAAAAAGCTCCAGGTTTAGCCTGATAGCGGATTCATTAAGAGTGAGAGATGAGAATGGTATAGAAAGCGAGTTTAGTGGTTTATTTCTGGTGCAAGTCAAGTATTTATTTTCCTCATCAGCAAACTCCACACTTTGCCATCTTCCTGTCTTCTCTCACATGTATATGGGAGCATGTGCATGACCTAAGTGTGCACACAGAAGGGCGTGTGACCTCAAAACTTGCAGTCACTGGTCAGGCACAGTGGCTCACGCCTGTAATCCCAGCACTTTGGGAGACTGAGGCGGGTGGATCACTCGGGTCAGGAGTTTGAGACCGGCCTGAGCAACATGGTGAAACCCCGTCTCTACTAAAAATACAAAAATTAGCTGGATGTGGTGGCACACGCCTGTAATCCCACCTACTCAGGAGGTTGAGGCAGGAGAATTGCTTGAACCCGGGAGGTGGAGGCTGCAGTGAGCTGAGATCGTGCCACTGCTCTTTAGCCCGGGTGACAGAGCGAGACTCCATCTCAAAAAAAAAACAAAAACAAAAAACTTGCAGTCACCTATGAGCAGTAAATTGGGAGACAGCCATACACATAAACTAAGAATATATCTGCTTATAAAAGACAATTCCAAAAGAAAACAACACATAGCTCCTCCCCCCACAAATAGTTTCTACATTATCCCATCAGTGCTTAAAACAGCAGGACCTGAAACAAACCCTTGTATTCACAATTGGATAAAGTATCACTATGCAAATACCCCTCAGAAGGAAAGTGTATCAGGGTAAATTCTCACTAGTGTGTAAATGACTGACATGATGGGAGAGGATGTGCTGATAAAGGAGGACTCGAAGAGAGGAAGTAAATGCCAAAGGAAGCCATGGTATGTGCCACAACTGGCGACTTTACAATTTTCCTCAGAGATTCCCCTGAACAACACCCCAAATCAGGGAATGACCAAGGATGAGTAGCTTCGGACTGGCCAAAACCAAAAGAAAGGAAGGGCAGAATACCGGCCAGCTCAGTGAGCCACTTTACCGGAAGTCTACATCTCTCTTTTCTTCCCTGGCCCACTGGGGAAGAGAAAATACAGAAGTTTGAGCTGCTTGTATTTTTGTATCTGATTGCATTTCACATACAGATATTCAGTACAGTTATTATAAGCAGAATTTTTTTTTTTTTTTTTTTTTTTTTTTTTAGCTCTGTCACCCAGGCTAGAGAGCAGTGGTGTGATCTTTGCTCACTGCAACCTCCGCCTCCTGGTTCAAGTGATTCTCCTGCCTGAGCCTCCTGAATAGGTGGAATTACAGGCGAGCGCCATCATGCCCAGCTAATTTTTGTGTTTTTAGTAGAGACAGGGTTTCACCATGTTGGCCAGCCTGGTCTTGAACTCCTGACCTTGTGATCCGCCTTTCTTGGCCTCCCAAAGTGCTGGGATGACAGGCATGAGCCACCACACCTGGCTATAAACAGAATTTTAAAATGACTTTTAGTTGTAATCTGACTACCTAAAAAGGCATATAAAACAAAAATTTATTTTATGCAAGTCTTAAAACAAGTTAACTCCATTACAGTTATATAATGTATTTGTAAATTTTATTTGGTGGTTTTCTTCTTTTTGGCTTCTCAAGGGTCAATCTGGTATTTTTTAAATTAGTAGTGTTAAAAAACAAAATTTCAACAAATTGAGTTTAAAGATCTAATTGGCTTTTATTACCAATGCGTGAATCAGGTAGCTTCCCATCGAAAGAACAGATAAGAGCTGAGCAGAGGAGGTTGGCTGCAGGGGCAGAAAAGGATTGAAGAAAGCGGAAAAAGTCCTAGTGTGGTGGCTCATGCCTGTAACCGCAGCACTTTGGGAAACAGAGGCAGGAGAATCCCTTGAGCCCAGGAATTCAAAACCAGCCTGAGCAATACCCAATCTGTACAAAAAAATAAAAAGTTAGCTGGGCATGGTGGTGTACGCCTGTGGTCCCAGCTACTTGGGAGGCTGAGGTGGGAGAACTGTTCGAGCCCACGTGGTGGAGGCTGCAGTGAGCCGTGGTCACGCCGTTGCACTGCAGCCTGGCCAACAGAGAGAGAGATCCTGCTTCAAAAAAAAACAAAAGCAGAAATAAGGAACGAAAAGTGGATATTGGTTGTTTCAGAATTATTTTCCTTATAAGATTAAAAGAGAGGGAACTTTGCAATGCCGGCTCAGATAAGCTGGGCCCTTCTGATTAGTTGCTCTGAATCTCATGTTTAGGGGGTTTTAGGTTCTATTTTTCATTTTTAATTTAAATTGGCCCTTTTTAAAGTTCCGTTTGATTATGTGGGAATGCCTCTATTCTGCTTTGGTTTGTTCTGCCGGGGCCTGGTATAGGAGCTCAATTCAAAACAATGGTTCTCCATACATTTTAACAGTAGAGGCACGGTGGCTTGCACCTATAATCCCAGCACTTTGGGAGCCTGCGGCAGTGGATCACCTGAGGTCAGGAGTTCGAGACCAGCCTGACCAACATGGTGAAACCCCATCTCTACTAAAAATAACAAATTAGCCAGGCGTGGTGGTACATGCCTATAATCCCAGTTACTTGGGAGGCTGAGGCAGGAGAATTGCTTGAACCCAGGAGGTGGAGGTTGCAGTGAGCCAAGATCGCACCATTGCACTCCGGCCTGGGCAACAAGAGCAAAAACTCTGTCTAAAAAAAAAATTAAAAATTTAACAGTAGCAATATTTCCTAATTAAAACTATCCACTATTATAGATTTATTCAATGATCCACTAATCTCACTTTGGAGACTGTCATTCGGTGGGAAGGAGGAGGACTCTAAAACGAAATCAAAAACAAAAACAAAACTTTAACTGTAAAGACCACAGGAATAAAACTGATTTATGAGTGAGTGTTCCCTGACTTCTCCTTGCCCTATTTCTACACAAGCCACGTCTCCAACCTCCATAAAAGGAGACTTCTTTCCCAGCTTTTTTGGATGGGTTTCTTAGGAAAATGAGGAGAAAGAAACCAGGCCAGAATGGCTAAGGCCAGGGGAACTGGGCCTAGAAGCTGAATTGATCTATAAAACAAAGAGTCAAAAGGAAAGTGAGAGGAGAGAGAGGAAGAACAGCTGGAAGGCTGCCCCATGGGACTCGAGGGGCTCCCAGAGGCGATGGTAGCCCCTGCAGCAGTCAGTGTGGGAGAACTGGGGAGTGCAGGAAGATTGGAGGAATATGGCTAGGAGTTTTGAACTGGATCTCTTGAGATTTTTCGTTGGATTGGAATTTGTTTTATGTATGTTTTATTTCATTTTGTTTTTTTAGAAACAGGGTCTTGCCCTGTCGCCCAGGTTGGAGTACAGTGGTACAATCCTAGCTCACTACAGCCTCAATCTCCTGAGCCCAGGGGATCCTCCCACCTCAGCCTCCTGAGTAGCTGGGACTACAGGCACATGCCACCACATTGGCCTGGACTTCATTCTAAAATTACGTTTGGGCAGAGCTAGGTGAGTCTGGTGGGGCTGAGCTACATGAGACCCAGAATGATTAAGGTTACAGCTTCCTCTCTGCCTTTCTCCGCCATCGTGGTGTGTGCTTTTCTCCGTTTCTCGCCATGTCTTCTCACAAGACTTTCAGGATTAAGCGATTCCTGGCCAAGAAACAAAAGCAAAATCGTCCCATTCCCCAGTGGATTCGGATGAAAACTGGTAATAAAATCAGGTACAACTCCAAAATGAGACACTGGAGAAGAACCAAGCTGGGTCTGTAAGAAATCACACATGCGATGGCACACGTATTCATGCTGTCCGAAGGTCACAATCGAGTGTTACTAAACCAAGCTATCGGGAGACGTTTGAATAGATTCCTTTCTGTATCTGTTATGAAGGCATTAGTTAGTACAACCCACGGTGCTTCCATTATTCATGTTTAAAAAAAAAAAAAGGTTTTGGTTGCCTGGGTTCAGTAATAAATAAGTGAGACCTTTCAAAAAAAAAAAAAAAAGGTTACAAAAATATTTTCCTAAGTTATTATGACTGGCATAAAATCAGAGATAACTCAAAATGTCTAACAGTAGGGCATCAGCTAAACCACAATATATCCACATGATGGGAGAAGACAGGACATTATGGGTTGATGCTGGTTTTGGAATAAGACAATTTGGTGTCTCACTCCCCATATTCTGTGAGTTCTTTTACTCATCAGAAATATGTCAGCCTCGATTTCCTCATTTACACATGAAAAACAATTACATCTACATTGTAGAGTGGTTGAGAGGATTAAGTACAATAATATATGTATAAAATTCCTAATAGAGTGCATGACTCATTGTAGACACGGCAGCTGCTATTAGAAAATGCCATAGTGATGTTAAAAATAATATGTATGTGGGTTAAGTCACTACAAAAAAAGATATGCGCATAAAATTACCATGTTTGTACATTGACAAGGATGGAAAGTGTATTTAGAATCAATGAGGTCAGCTCATCTACTTTCCCGATGCCCACAAAGAGAACCGGCTCAGGCTGCAGAATGAGTAATTTAAGACGAATATAAAAGAACATTAGGATTATAAAATACTGAAGAAATCTATAAAAGAAAACATTAAAACACTCTCTCTAGAGATTAAAAAGATAATTACATTGGTTCCTCATTTATTTCCCTGATTACAATGGTCAGAGGTAATTTGTTTGGCTTTGATAGGTGTTCTTTGCCTCAAGGGATTTTCCTTTCTAATTGTGTTTGTTTAGGCTAATAGAAAACTAATTTACATTCCTTGAACTCCTACCAACTGAAGACGATTGGGAAATGACTCAGAAGAATGCTGAATGGTAGGGGAAAATCCCTTTAGGATTTAGAAGGTGCTAGAAATAATCCAAAAAGTAGATAATCCATGGAAGAGTTAACTGTATAGAAATTCAGTTCTCTCCCACAGCTCTTGCGTCACCTCTCAAGCAAAAATACCCCTAACCTAGTAGCCAGGGACCTCATGCATGAGATTGGGACAGTCAGGACCATTATTCTATTCGAGCATTGCGTATCGTACCTTGCTTCACGATTCATTCCTGAAGGATGTCTTTTTATAAGGCTTTCTTGACTCAATATAACTGTGCACATCCTATTTTTAGAGTAGTTGTTACAAGGATTCTTGCTGCCGTTTCAGGAAGTGAGAAGGTTGCTGAAGTGATCAGGTTCCACCCACCTCACACTGAATGGCAAAAAGTGGGTGGGAGCGGGATATAGAGGGAGGCTGGCTTCTGTCGGCTTATTGGTTATATGATCTCTTCTGGTTGAGTTTCTGAGTCCTATTATCAAAAATTTAATTTCACAAACTGTAAATATGATTTTGTTTTAAAAATGTCAAACAGGGCTGGGTGGGGTGGCTCACGCCTGTAGTCCCAAGCACTTCAGGAGGCCAAGGTGGAAGGACTGCCTGAGCCCAGCAGTTCAAGACCAAAACTAGCCTGGGCAACACAGCGAGACCCTGTCTTTAAAAATAAGCTGGGCATGCTGGCGTATGCCCGTAGTCCCAGCTACTTAGGAAGCTGAGGTGATGGAAGCTGAGTGAGCCCAGGAGATGGATGTTGCAGTGAACCAAGATCACACCACTGCACTCAACTCTTGGCTACTCTGTCTCCAAATAAACAACAAAAAAAGAAGTATCAAACAGACACCAAAGGAATAAAAAATGGAAACCTTCTTTAACAACTGCTCCCCATCAAATCTCACTTCATCTCCCAGAGATAACTATCATTCAGACGTTTGATGTTCATGCATTTCCTTTTTCTCAAAAAAAAAAAAAAATTGTTTTTAGAGACAAGGTCTTGCTATGTTGCCCAGGCTGGAGTGCAATAGCTATTCACAGGCATGATCATAGCGCACAAAATCTTCAAGCTCCTGGGCTCAAGCAATTCTCCTGCTTTAGTCTCTGGATTAGCTGGGACTTGAGGTATGTACTGCCATGCCTGGGAGATGTTCATGCATTTCTATACATTCACACACACACACATCTGCATCAACTTGGAAGCAGTGAAATAAATTAGAGTATACTCATCCCAGGGAATACTATGTAGCAGTTTAAAAAATAAACAAAATGTAGCCACACATGTCCTGATATGGAATGAACTTCAGAGCATACCATCTTTCACTCAGTCACCCTAGGATGAATATGGTGTTTTCTATTTACTCAATTTACTACAGATACCGTTACTACTGATACCTTTCCAATAGGAAGAAATAAACAAAAGAAAGAGAAGCAATATCTTGGCACATGCTTTTTCATGTTTTTTCATGTTCTGAATGAATATTTCTCTAGTATATATAGAGGCTCAAAGGGTCCATGCATTTAAAATTTTAATAGATTATGTTAAATTATCTTTAGAAGGTCTTTGCCATTTTACATTCCCTCCAAGTGACTTTAAAAGTATCTTCCTGCTTCCCAGTGAATCCTTCCTTACAGGGGATATTATCCAGCTCTTCCATTTTTGTCATATAGGCAAGGAAGAAGAGGGAGAGAGGCTTGAGAATTTCATTTTTTTATTTGCATTTCTCTGATTTTGGTGAAATTGAGCATATTTTATATGCTTATTGTTCATTTTAAAAATATTCCTCATTCTTATATTAGCCCATAATTCTGCAGGGATATTTGTATTTTTCTTATGGACTTGTAGGAACTCTTTATATATCCTAGATAGTAATCATTTTTCTATCATGCAATTTGCAAAATAGTTTTTTTTGTTTCTCTTTTGAATTCTAATTCTGATCATGGCTGTTTCCAGCAAGTGAAAAGTGATGCCATCTACCTTATTAAATTGTGTTATTATATTACTATTATTTTTATTAGCAACAAAGCTGAAGTGGAGAGAAAAATCTGATTCTTTCTCTTTGCACTTCTCCTGTGGTATTTTCTCTCAGTTTGGGAGGCAATCGCCTTTCATTTATTTATTTATTTATTTATTTATTTATTTATTTATTTTTGAGAGGGAGTTTCTCTCTAGTTACCCAGGCTGGAGTGCAATGGCACAGTCTTAGCTCATTGCAACCTCTGGTTCCCAGGTTCAAGCAATTCTCTTGCCTTAGACTCCTGAGTAGCTGGGATTACAGGCACTACCATGCCCAGCTAACTTTTGTTATTTTTTAAGTAGAGAAAGAGTTTCGTCACGTTGGCCAGGCTAGTCTCAAACTCCTGACCTCAGGTGATCCACCTGGCTTGGCCTTCCAAAGTGCTGGGATTACAGGCGTGAGCCACCGCACCTGGCTGCAATCGCCTTTTCTTTCTTTTTTTTTTTTTTTTGAGACAGAGTTTCGCTCTTGTTACCCAGGCTGGAGTGCAATGGCCCGATCTCAGCTCACCGCAACCTCCGCCTCCTGGGTTCAGGCAATTCTCCTGCCTCAGCCTCCTGAGTAGCTGGGATTACAGGCACGCGCCACCATGCCCAGCTAATTTTTTGTATTTTTAGTAGAGACGGGGTTTCACCACGTTGACCAGGATGGTCTCGATCTCTCAACCTCGTGATCCACCCGCCTCGGCCTCCCAAAGTGCTGGGATTACAGGCTTGAGCCACCGTGCCTGGTGCAATCGCCTTTTCTAACAGGGATTGAAGGGCAGAAAAGATTCGAAAGAAAAGGGATTAAGTAGTAGCATGAAACAGCAAAGTAGAAGAGCTTTTTCATTTCTCTTAATTATTTTGTGTTGTACAAAACATTAGACAGAACCCTGTGCAAATAAATGAACAAAACTGCCAAATTCTATGGCCAAATACAAAAATACTTCCAGACTGTCTATCATTGAACACAGTTCACATTACATTGTATCTCTCATTGTCTAGGTTCTTCTTTTTTTTTTTTTTTTTTAATGACTTTACTTCTAATACTAGATTAAACTTTAAAGCTAAGACAATACTTGATGCCTACAGTGAAAATCCCAAGTAATGCTAAGTAAAAACACTGGTATCTTTATTTCTCCCTTCTTCCCTCCCCTCCCCCCCCTTCTTCTTTCTTTCTCTCTTTCTTTCTTTCTTGCATTTCTTAAGTTACTTTCTTGTCCATGAAACACACAAAAAAACAAAAATCTACAAATTAAAATGGAGACACAAATGTAAATAAAGATACATTTGAAATACCTCCCTTAAGCCCTGAAGTTCATTTGGGCTTTGAAGGGGTACATAGGCTACCATATGACATCGTGATGTTAAGCAATAAGTTTGTTTAAGCAAAGGAGAAAAACATGACAGCATTATTTACTGATTTAGAACATATCTGTTAATGCCTGATAAGCATCAAGGAATGTACAATGAAAAAACAGGATAGAAGCCAGCCCTGCCTTCATAGATTATTCTCTTGAAGAAAAGAGAGAATCTCAAAAAAAAAAAATGTCCAGAGATAGATATTTTGATCATCACTGAGGGATGGCCATTGAGACTTTGTATCCCTCCTTTTGAGGAACAGAGGAGAAAGTCCTAGTTTTTGACGAAGGATAGTTGTATCTTGTTAAGTAAAAACACAATGTTGTTACAGTTCTTGTATAGAAGTTTCGGGATCTATACAAAATTATTATTTTTGTAGAAATGGGGTCTTGCTATGTTGCCCAGGCTAGTCTCAAACTCCTGGCCTTAAGCTCTCCTCCTGCCTCAGCCTCCCAAAGTACTGGAATTACAGCTGTGAGCCATTGCACCTGGCCCAAATCCCCCTTTCTATGCTCTACTTTGTGAGCATAGAAGGCAGAATCTCTGGGGCCAGGCACAGTGGCTCACACCTGTAATCCCAGCACTTTGGGAGGTTGAGGTGGGTGGATCACCTGAGGTCAAGAGTCCGAGAGCAGCCTGGCCAACATGGTGAAACCCTGTCTCTACTAAAAATACAACAAACTAGTTGGGCATGGTGGTGGGCACCTGTAATACCAGCTCCTCAGGAGACTGAGGCAAGAGAGTCGCTTGAACCTGGGAGGTGGAGAAGGTTGCGGTGTTCGGAAATCACACCATTGCACTCCAGCCTGGGAAACAAGAGTGAAACTCTGTCTCCAAAAAAAAAAAGGCAGGAAGGATCTCTGTCACTGTATTTCTCCTTTGACAGCTGGCTCCCTGACAAATGCTGCCAATGAGGAGGAAGGTGCTAGAGGGAAACTGAGGGAGGAGAAACTTACTCCTATTTGATTGCTGTTCCAGTCAGGCTCACCTAACTCTTCACCCTGATAGGTAGCCATTAATTCTACAGTCCAGCTTTTCTTTTTCATACACCCAGAACCATGCTTCATCAGCTGTATCAGAACCAGCTGGCTATGATGTCATCTACTTTATTCCATAGAAATCTGGGTTCCCTATAGGGTGAAGGTCTTCCCTCTGAGCTCCTTGGTACCAGGAAAGCTGGTGGTGGCTAATTCCCACAGTTCAGTCTCCCTGGAACCTCAGCATTCCCTTGTCTTTTCTATTCTTCAGTATTTGCTTAACCAATCCTTTTCATTTACTTATGTCTGTTAAAATAAGATATGATTTCTGTTTTCCTGACCAGATCCTAACTGATAACTACAGAAAGCCCCTGTCATGCTTCTCAGGAAATGAGGAAACACTCCTTTAAATCCAAGCTGAATTCTCAGGGCTCTGTGGTAATGCTACAAACTGAATGTTTACGTCACCCCCAAATCGATGTTGAAATCTCAACCCCCGCCCCCGTGCGATGGGATTAGGAGGTGGGCCTTTGCGAAGCGATTTGGTCATGTATCATCCTTACAAAGGAGACCCCAGATAACTCATTCCCCCTCTTCTACCATGTGAGGCCACAGTGAGGAGGTGGCTGTCTATGAAGAGAGGCCTCAGCAGACACTGAATCTGCCAGCACCTTGATCTTGAGCTTCCTAAGCCTCTGGAACTGTGAAAAATAAATGTCTGGGTTTTTTGTCTTTCCATCTAAGTTGAGTAAAAAATGTCTGTTCTTTATAAGCCACCCAGTTTGAATTTTTTTTTTTTTTTTTTTTTTTTTTTTTTTTTTTTTGAGATGGAGTCTCACTCTGTCACCAGGCTGCAGTGCAGTGGTGCAATCTTGGCTCACTGCAACCTCTGCCTCCTGGGTCCACGCATTTCTCCTGCCTCAGCCTCCCAAGTAGCTGGGACTACAGGCACGTGCTGCCACGCCCAGCTAATTTTTCTATTTTTAGTAGAGACGGGGTTTCATCATGTTGGCTGGGATGGTCTTGATCTCTTGACCTTGTGGTCTGCCCGCCTTGGCCTTCCAAAGTGTTGGGCTTATAGGCGTGCACCACTGCACCCAGCTCAGCCTGATTTTATAATAGCGGCCTGAAAGATGAAAACAGAAAACATAATATAATGCAAAAATAGTATATTTAAAATGTTTACCCATTTTCCAAGCAGGGCTCTTCTTTCTTCAAATACCTACAATAAGGAAAAAAAATATGGTAATTTCACATATCTTATAATACCCATTACAAGGAAGACATCATTACAGGATCTGTGAATAAACATTCATTTTAACAACTGAATATAAAGAGACAGATTTTACTCCTGAGGTTATGTATTTTTACCCAGGACAAGGTTTCTCTTTTTTTTCAGTTTCTACATGTGGAATAATTCACACATGAAAGAAGTAATAACGCTGGGTGCAGTGGCTCACACCTGTAATCCCAGCACTTTGGGAGGCTGAGGCAGCTGATCATTTGAGCTCAGGAGTTTGAGAGCGGCCTGGGAAACACGGCGGGACTCCATCTCTACAAAAATTAGCTGGGCATCGTGGTATGTCCCTATAGTCCCAGCTGAGACTAAAGTAGGAGGTTCACTTGAAACCAGGAAGTTGACGCTGTAGTGAGCTATGATCACGTCACTACTTCTAACCTGGAAGACAGAGCCAGATCCTGTCTCAGAAAAAGAAGGGGCAGGGGGAGGGAAAGAAAGAGGAGGAGCGGGAGGGGGAAGGGATAGTTTTTTAAAGGAAAATAAATTTTAAAAATGGAATTATAGCCAGGCGTGGTGGCTCACGCCTGTAATCCCAGAATGCTGGAAGGCCAAGGCAGGCAGATCACCTGAGGTCAGGAGTTCGAGACCAGCTTGATCAATATGGAGAAACCCCATCTCTATTAAAAATATAAAATTAGCTCAGCATGGTGGTGCAAGCCTGTAATCCCAGCTACTCAGGAGGCTGAAGCAGGAGAATCGCTTGAACTCAGGAGGCGGAGGTTGCGGTGAGCCAAGATCGTGCCATTGCACTCCAGCCTCGGTAACAAGAGTGAAACTCCATCTCAAAAAATAAGTAAATAAATAAAATAAAAATAAATAAAAGTTGAATTATAAAGAGAAATCAATTTTAGAATTTGAAAGATGAAAAAAACAAACAGGAACATGAAACTCCCCCATCTGAAATGTTTCAATATTAATAATATGAGAATTTACAAAATAGATGAATGATCAATGCTGTTTTTCTTTTCTTTCCTTTTTTTGAAATGGAGTCTCATTCTGCTGCCCAGCCTAGAGTACAGTGATGTGATCTCAGCCCACTGCAACCTCCACCTCCTGGGTTGAAGTGATTCTTCTGCCTCAGCCTCCTGAGTAACTGGGATCACAGGCGTGTGCTATCATGCCCAGCTAATTTTTGTATTTTTAGTAGAGACAGGTTTTCACCATGTTGGCCAGGCTGGTTTCGAACTCCTGACCTCAGGTGATCTGCCTGCCTTGGCCTCACAAAGTGCTAGGGTTACAGGCATGAGCCGCCAAGCCTGGCCCAGTTCTGTTTTTCTATTTCAGTGTGTACACATATCAGTGGGTGTACAAGTACGTACATGTCTGTAGGATTAGAAATGTGTGCATGTATGCCTCTGGAGTTTCACTTCAATATTTATTGTTACAGGTTTATTTCATTGATTGATTGATTGATTTTTGTTATTTTCTATTTCTTTTTTCTTTTTTCCTGGGTACAGGTTTATTATGACATGCTATTTGGGACAGCAACTAAGCCTTATTTACCTTGGCATTTCCAGTAGAGTGCTTACAGAGCATGTTACAGGTATCTATGTTTACTGAACTGAATGACTGTGATTGTGAGAATGAATATCCTTATGGATATGTCAGTACAATGTGAGTATCTTTATATACATTGGAGTCAAGGTACTTTTCTGAGCATCAGCACATGTGTATATTTCAGCGAGGAAAGGAAGACTAATGTGGGTATACGTGGCAGAGAAGGGCGTTATTAAGAGAGGAAGAGAAAGAGCATATGTGAATGTCTCACTTGCTTTATCCCATACACCCTCTGTCAGCTTTCAAAATCGGGATAGATGTTTCTCCCTTCCTCTTGGCACTTGCTACCTTCTCTAGTGCTGTAAGAATGTTCTCACTTGGAGAGGTGGCTCAGCCCTATTTCTTCTCTTTTCATGGAGGAGGCTGAGGAGCTGGTTTTCTGCTTCCCACAGATCATGCTCTCCTTCCTTTTTTAACTCTCAAACTCTGGTTGCTAAGGACATATGAAATAGGAATTGAAATAATTGGTTCAATCGCCACCTTGGGACCAGTGAAATGTCAGTTTTGCTCTTGGCCAGGGAATCTCTTCAGTCACAGACAGACACTTTCTGCACACAGGAGAAGAAAAAGACCCTCCCCCCAGCTAACTGCCACCTGGGCTACGAGAACCCTCAAATAATGGCAATGGATAAACTCAGAATTTCTAGATGAAAAGAAGTAGAAGAGAATCTGTAGAACCCAGAAGATTCAAAATACCTGGATTCAAATATTGTCTGAATTCTCAATCATGCATCGCCCAACCTAAGCAACCAGAGCTGTCTCTTTTCTGATGCCCGGGGATTTCTGCCTCCCAACTCCTACTCCATTTATAGTTCATGCTTCACTTACACTCTATAGTGTTTCTGTTTCTCTATAGTGGTTTCTGTTAATTTTATCTTCCCAAGTAGATTACAACCACTTTCTCTTACATGCTCCACAGAACCCTCAAGTACAGAGTCCATGGAAGACTTTCAACAAACCATTTTGCTGAGTGACTAACAACAACAAAAAAGCTTCAGAAGTCATAGAATTTTAGAGCTGAAAGGAATCCTAAAGGTCTTTTTGTTCGATTCTTGTACTTCAGAGAGGATAAGCAGAGGCCCAAAAAGGTTACATTTATAGATAGTTTAAAAATCGCTTGGTCTAGGCTGGGCGCAGTGGCTCACACCTATAATCCCAGAACTTTGGGAGGCCGAGGCGGGTGGATCATGAGGTCAGTAGATCAAGACCATCCTGGCTAACATGATGAAACCCTGTCTCTACTAAAACTACAAAAAATTAGCCAGGGGTACTGGTGTGTGCCTGTAATCCCAGCTACTTGGGCGACTGAGGCAGGAGAATCACTTGAACCCAGGAGGCGGGGTTACAGTGAGCTGAGATTGCACCACTACACTCCAGCCGGGGTGACAGAGCGAACTCCGTCTCAAAAAAATAAAAAAATAGGCCAGGCGAGGTGGCTCACGCCTATAATACCAGCACTCTGGGAGACCGAGGCAGGTAGATCACAAGGTCAAGAGATCGAGACCATCCTGTTCAACATGGTGAAACCCCGACTCTACTAAAAATACAAAAATTATCTGGGCATGGTGACACACGCCTGTAGTCCCAGCTACTCGGGAGGCTGAGGCAGGAGAAATGCTTGAACCCAGGAGGCGGAGGTTGCGGTGACCCGAGATTGCACCACTGCACTCCAGCCTGGGTGACAAGAGAGAAAGTCCATCTCAAAAAAATAAAATAAATAAAATAAATAAAAACATAAAAAATTGCTGGGTCCAAACTATGCACTGTCCAAACAGCGCACTTGATTCCTCACCAGAACGTTGGTCTTCCCCATTCTGACTTCCAGCCTTACATTCTTGATGAACTTCCACCCGTGCTTTGGTCTGACTGTAGGGAGAAGAGGCTAGGTCCTGAGACCACAGCAGAATCTCAAGAGGAGGCTGAAGCATGGTGTCCAATGATGGTGTGGCCCATTGGGAAAAAAAGGAAACTGACTTGAAGGCGAAGAGATAGTCAACAAGAAGGTAGCAGAAAAGGAATGTGGTGGGAGGTGGGAAGTGCTACGCAGGCTAAACTGCGAGGCAAAGTCTAAGCTCTTTACCAGAAGGCATCTAGACTCAAGCGGAAACTGATGGGACAGAAGAGGTAGAGGAAAGACACTAGACTGAAAGTCAGGAGACCTTGGATCTGGTTCTGACTTCTGCCCTTGACAAGACATAACATTGTGGGCAGATGATTTTGTCATCAGGTTCTCAGCTGGACTTGTAGTCTTATATACGCTGGTTTGGAGCAAGTCTTTATTTCCAAGATTTGCGATCAGGTTCTTCATTTTATCTATGTATGTATATAGGTATCTATGTATTTATTTGAGACAGAGTCTTGCTCTGTGGCCCATGCTGGAGTGCAGTGGTGCGATCTCAGCTCACTGCAGCCTCCACCTCCGATGTTCGAGCAATTCTCCTACCTCAGCCTACCAAGTAGCTGGGAGTACAGGTGTGTGCCACCACACCCAGCTAATTTTTTGTGTTTTTAATAGAGATGGGGTTTCATTGTGTTAGCCAGGATGGTCTCGATCTCCTGATCTCATGATCGGCCCACCTCGGCCTACCAAAGTGCTAGGATTACAGGCGTGAGCCACCGCATCCGGCCAGGTTCTTCATTTTAAAGAGCTGGAAAACTAAGTATCTCTTCCAAATGGAAATATTAAAATGGATCTTCTTTTCCTGCAAGATGCTGCAGTCTGTTTATATCACAGTTTACTCAGAGCCTGCTGGTAAGTCAAAATCCCACGGTTGTTATTTTAGTCTGTTGGCACTGCAGTTACGTAGTTCACCGTGTGACATCATTACAGTGTAGGAGTGAGATAATTAGGGGCCCTAAATAAAGACTGATTGATGGTAACTGGGTACTTTTTCACAGAACGCTTTTATTTATTTATTTATTTTTGAGGTGGAGTCTCGCTCTGTTGCTGAGGCTGGAGTGCAGTGGCACAATCTCGGCTCACTGTAACCTCCACCTCCTGGTTCAAGAGATTCTCCCGCCTCAGCCTTAGGAATAGCTGGGATTACAGGTGTGTGCCTGTAATCCTGGCTCTTTTTTTTTTTTTTTTTTTGAGATGGAGTTTCGCTCTTGTTACCCAGGCTGGAGTGCAATGGCGCGATCTTGGCTCACCGCAACCTCCGCCTCCTGGGTTCAGGCAATTCTCCTGCCTCAGCCTCCTGAGTAGCTGGGATTACAGGCACGTGCCACCATGCCCAGCTAATTTTTTGTATTTTTAGTAGAGACGGGGTTTCACCATGTTGACCAGGATGGTCTTGATCTCTCGACCTCGTGATCCACCTGCCTCGGCCTCCCAAAGTACTGGGATTACAGGCTTGAGCCACCGC